TCGAGATGATTTTTATTTGAAATACACCAGAGTATTTTGCTTATTGAAAATAGTAAATTTAATAATTTAGCTTTCAATTGAATCTAAAAAAGAAAGCTTCAAGAATGCATTTTCATCTTTAAAAAATCATTTTAAACTTTAGGTATCAAAAATTAGTGAAAGTACCTACAAAATGGCCAGTTACTCGTTTTCCGAGCACACCCGTCTGCTAGCTCGATTAGCCAATCCCCTTGGTTTCTACTGCAACTATACGGAGCTTAGTTACAGTTTTGGGGAGTGGGGCATCTTCTAACATGATCAGCAGTTTGAATAGCGTACACTCAAACCCTCGGTCACAATGACTTGTGACTTCGTGCTCGCACAACCGTCGACGGCTTCTCAACATTTCCGTCTATCAAGTTTCACCCACAAGGCTTGATCATGATTTTCAGGCATTTTCCAAAGATGCAACACGCAGGTGTCGCCTGAGCCAGACCGATAGCACCAAGATGTCACCTTCCTGACATAGTGAGATTCGAACCCGAGTCTCAGTGTCTAAAAGCAAATGTTTTAACTACACTTATTAAATAATAGTTTAGCAGGCTATTATTTTTTAGAGGAATTGTATCTCTTATCGGACTTCCTGTGGTTGACCTTAGGAATCAGATGGAAGACAAAATAATGAAGTTGATTTTGATTGACTGAGCCAGCGTGGGGATAAGAGATATAGAAAGGGTTTTCAGTGAGTTTCTTAACCGTCAACCAATGTAGACGGGTTTTTTTTCGTGTCTGGAACGGCTCCCCAGTAGAGAAGAAACAAACCCCACTGGATAGATAGAACATGTCGACATGAACGTTAATAAAATAGTTAAGTTAAAACTATCTGTGTTTGACGTATTTTCATCTCGGAAACCATAAAATTTCGCGCCCCCCACCGCCGGCCAGGAGAATCAACGTGAGAGAGAGAGAGAGAGAGAGAGAGAGAGAGAGAGAGAGAGATAATACAACACTATATATATATATATATATATATATATATATATATATATATACAGAGAGAGAGAGGGAGAGAGAGTATATCTGTAAAAGGACAATATGAATAATAAAAAAAAACATATCTTAGCCAACGCGTTTCGTCCTCTGCGGAACTTTAGGTCTCACAGAGGATGAAACCCGACGACTAAGATAAGTTTTCCTTATATATATATATATATATGAAGAAAAATATATACGGAAAAAACAAAACAAAATAACAAATAACTAAACAAATCAGTTATTTGTTTGGATAAGTCTTGTTTTTATGTACATCGTCTTTGTCATGTTGTATTGATAATGTTATATTTATGAATATGTCCTGAAGATGGTTTATTAGACCGAAACGTCCGACGTTGACATATTAACATTAAAACAGCATAATTGTATATAAGGATTTTTGTTTTGTTTTTTCCGTATATATTTTTCTTCATGCTGTCAGATCTATATCCATATATTTGCTTATATATATATATATATATATATATATATATATATATATATAATCCAAAATATGTTTCAACTTTAAATAATCCACAAATTGTTGATAAGCAAACAAAAAAAAAATAACAAATCAATCTAGATAGGTAGGTAAGTAGGTAAGTAGGTAGGGCGCAAATTCAGAATACTTGTTACTGGTAATCCTGTTAGAAGAATGATACAGAAAATAATTTTTAATTATATAAATATTAACGAATATAAGTGCTAATGACCTGTCGATACGATGGAGGCGGGTTTACTGGTTGTCCTCCCACATCAACCATCGGCCACCCATAACGCATACATGAATATCGATGAATATCGGTGTACATACAATATATATTATCTAATAAATATGTATGAAAAACATGCGTGTGCATGCCTGAGTGAATTATTCTGAGTGTTGTTATTCTCTGCAATACACATACGTCTATGCGTATATAACCGTGTGGTTAGAACGTTCACTTTCAGGCCATGAGACCCGGGTTCGAATCGGGCTGATTCGTCGAGACTTCGTGGTGTTACCGGAATGAATGGAGGTCGAGGTCGATCTCAGCATGCGGCATCTTTGGAAACTGCCTGAGAACCATACCACGAGTTGAGCGTGCTGGCCTTTTTCAAATTGTCGCTCAGTTGAGTTGTAGTATAAACCACAGGGTGTGGGTGTTGAGCAAACATAAATGTGCCTGAGCGAGCGTTTGCAATAGGGATTGGCTAGCCGTATTAATAGACGGGTATCCTCAAATACGAGTGGCTAGCTATTATGTATACGTAGGTAGACCGCTAGGAGTGAGGGCCAAATTGTCCTTTTTAGGACATCCATCTAAGAGAGGAAAAGTCGTATATAAAACCTGAAGCTCACTTGGTGTCCAGTTGTTTCAACCTTTGTTGTGCCACTGGTGCTATGACCAATTGTCCTGGAAAGTAGGTTTTAGCTTTGTGTAACATTCACTCAGAAAAAAAATCACCCACAGGAACTTCTTGGACAGATATTCCTGAGATGTTTATTTGGGAGTTGTGGGGGCTAGTATTACTCGATCACTAGTCGACTTCCACGATGTAAGTATATATGGGTTAGTGTGTTGTATTTAAAGAATAAAATATAATATATACACTAAAACAAATTCACATTATAATGTATATATCATTTGGATTTATTTTAGTGTATATATTATATTTTATTCTTTAAAATACAATATATACACTAAAACAAATCCAAATTATAACTAAAAACGTCTGTGCTTTCTCTCTTTTTTTAATATATATATATATATAAAGAAAGAACAGTAAGATATATAATCCGGTGTTCTTATAGATATTTTTATTTTTACAAAATAGTGCTCAATGTAAATTTAAATGGAACTAATGCTTTTAATTTAATTGCAAAATTAAATTCGGGGCTTTTAGCTTCTATTTTTGAAACATGGTTAGAACTGTGTAGCGGAAAAAACCACATTTTAAATCAATTAATTTATAATATATATATATATATATATATATATATATATATGTGTGTGTGTGTGTGTGTGTGTGTGTGTGTGTGTGTATGTATGTATATTTCTTTTCTTCACCCTTCTTTCTTCTCCATAGCCCCTGCCTTTTTATTACACTCAGTCATATTTTTCGAATGTCATGTGCCTGTTAAATTATTTAAAAAAAATAATTATGTAGCGTTCTTTGTTTTTTTTTGTTTGTTTTTTTTTTTATAATAATGCATTAAGGTGGTCATTTTTAAGAATATCTCCCGAAGTGACCGTCATTCCGAAACTAAGGTCGCGTATTTTAATTGACCTCCTGATTTTTAAATTATATATATATCGTCTATGGTGTGTGTGTCACCACGAAATGTATCTTTATGTATTAGACATCCGACAACATTCATATTTCTCTTACTTAAACCCCTTCCACCCACCTCTCCTAAAATTCTCTCTGTTAAGGTTTAATCTCCCTCCTTCTCTAGTCTGTTACCCCTCATACTTACACTCTCTCTAAATTCTGTTTTTATTTCCGGAGTTGTTTTTTCTGTTTTCATTTTGAATTTGTAGGTCTGATGAATTGGATCGTATTTACGATTCCAATGGAATAAACTATGACCATGGAATATTAGTGTTTAAATATATATATATATATATATATATATATATATATATATATATATATATATATATATATATATATATATATATATATATATACGTGTGTGTGTGTGTGTGTGTGTGTGTGGAAATAATGGGATAAAGTGGTAAGGCTTTTTTTAACGACGTGTTTCAGTGGTTCCCGGTTAAGCAACGTTGAGTCTGAGCAATACTTACAAGGGTGACCGTTTAAGAATACCATGTGCTGTAAGCTTCAATGTGCGTTTGGTTTAAGGGATAATGGCTCGGAATTGTTAATCGGAGAGCCGAGTTTCAATTACAGTTGGGTTTGCGCAAATACTCTTGGCAAAGGTATGAATCCACCTCTTCTCCCCTCCCAGCTATGGGTTAATTAGTGAAACTTGTATCACTAAGTCATTATTATCTTTAAATAAGTTCTTGCAATCTAAAAATATGTCCTGACTTTAAATAACCTGCAAAGGGTTGATAAGCCGTAGAAAATGAATCAATCAGTCAATCAATGACGCGTTTCTCGTCTACGTTTCGGCTTCATCAGGCTGGAATAAAAGAAAAAAATCCAACAAACAAGATAAAAACAAATACTTTCTGGCCCTGGTTCTGATAAGGTAATTTAATTTATTGTCCCTCTTAACCTCAAAAATCTCAACGCATTTTCCTTACGCACATTCCAACCTGAAAAATCCGACCCTATTACAAATCGGCGAATCAATCAAAAAGCAAGTTGAAGTCTAGACTTTGTTGCGGACGAGTGACCGTTGTTTCCTTCAGGAGAACCCTTCATCCTGGCTTTTGCCTTCAGTTTAGGAAGTACCCCACGCTGTCCAGCAATGCTGTGTCCTCACTGCACTTGCTGCATCCATAAAGCTATGGAAATATAGTCCGCCCCATTGTGCTAGACAACCGCTGACCCTACAAGAAGGTTCATTCGCTTCTTGACTGGTTTTGCTTTTAATTCTACGAGGTGTCTAACCGCTCTCCTCATCAGAAAATCCTGGCGATGGAAACGGTTTAATCACCGATTACCATTTAGCAGGTAGTAGTGGGTTACACGATACTGGTAGCACTCGTAGAGTGACCTGACATAGCAAAACTTGGTAGAATCCCAATTTCTTTCCAATTATGAACGATGGTTAGTTGGTTGTTTTTGTTCAGCGATATATCAATCTCTATGTGCAATTTGATGCCGAAATCTAATTTTATCTTACTTTTGGCGATAATAATGATTTAGTGATACAACTCTTACTAATTAACCCATAGAGGAGTCAGATACATACCTTTCCCCAAGGATATTTGCGCTTAAGTAAATATAACGAACTCAACGGGAAATGAAACTCGGCTCTCTGATTAACAATAACGATCCAGTATCCATTGCACCACCCGCACTTCCAATTT